ACGCCATTTCGGCGTCCGTGGACAAGAGCAGGACTGGGAAATTCAGTTTATGAGCTAAATGGATCAAATATACTGACTTGAGAGTGCTATCTCTGGCCTCTCTCTCTGGTAGAAAGCCCACCTGATCTGGATGTATCCAATGGGGTAAGAGCGGGCTCATTCTGGAAGCTAGGATCTTGGCATAAAGTTTGGTATCAACGTTCATTAGTGATATAGGGCGGTAGCTAGAACAGCAAAATGGATCTTTACCAGGTTTAGCAAGTAATGTGATGTGAGCGAGTAGCGATTCTGGGTGCATAGGTAAATCGGTGTCGATTGAATTGACATATCTACAAAAGTAAGGGGCTAACGGGGTCTGGAAACGTTTAAAATATAAAAGAGGGAAACCGCCAGGGCTCTTGCCTAGGGGAGTGGATTGGATTGCCTGCTCAAATTCCGCTACAGTAATGGGGGATTCTAGGGCTAGTAGTGTGTCCTTTGGCAATGAAGGCAAACCCACATTTTGTAAGTATTGGGTGATTCTCTAACCCACGTGTGCCGTGAGGGAGGGCGAACCCTATATAGGTCCTAGTAAAATTCACGGAACACCGCAGCGATGTCAGTGGTAAGGTGAGCCATAGAGTCCGATGTAGACTTAATTTTAGGTAAAATATCATATTTTAATGAAGACATTAAAAGTACGAAACCTAAAATCAGTTATGATCAGTGAGTCCTTATTTGGAAAATCCTCTACGTGTTTCGCCACAGCCATGGCTTCATAAGGAGGAACATATGACTATAAGCTAACATCAAGTACCATTAGAAAATCATAATTCCATTACAACAACATGGTGATTTGGTGTATACAAGTACAATATCTTACTGTGGATGATTGTATCCATATATGAATATACCAGCAGCTATTCTCCCATTGGAGTGAGCAAAACAGGACTGCAGAGGCTTCAATAGTCACGACCTTGGTTCCCCCGTAGTCCTCTTTTCTTTCGCTGACGTGATCTCTTCCTTCCCTTGTACCTGATCCATTGATCTATTCCCCCTGTATCTGATTCATTCCCCCCTGTACCTAAACCCTTTAGTACCTGAACCCTTCCCCCTGTATCTGATTCTTTCCCCTCCTGTACCTGATCCCTTCCTCCTGTATCTATTATCTTCCTCCTGTACCTGATCCCTTTCTTTCCCTGTATGTGATCCTGTCCTTCACATGTACCTGATCCATTCCCCCCCTGTACCTGATCCCTGCCCTCCATAGCGGATTCCTTCCCCTTCTTACGTTATTATGACAGTCCTGCATGGGACCCGGCCTTTTCTTTGTTTGAGATGTGATCTGAAGGGCTTTGTTTACATATGTGTGAATGTTTATGGTAGAGCTGTGTTTGTATTCTCTATAGTGTGTATAATACTTTACACCTTGGAAGGATCAAATCCCAGGAGCCGAGTCTGCAACACACTTAATTCTCATAGAACATGGTCGCCATGCATTTTCACACACAGCACAATGCAGATTTAAACCCAGTTAAATCAAAATGGCAACAATATGGCAGTCATGTTAACGCATAATGTGAACCTTACCTGGCAGTAAAATAAAATTACACCTGGCATATAACTCTTCTTAGTCTTTCCTATTGTACTTTGAAGGCACATTTCAGGACTTCTTAAACTTCAGATTTGCTACAGGATTGAACTGAGTAGCTCCTGCAGTCAGGGCCGCTCTATTGTAAGGCTGCACCATCCCAGCAGTTCTGTTTATGATGCGATCGGCAATGCATAGTGTAGCTCTGCCCCTGCCCAACGCAGCATAGCACCTCTGCAGGTAGGGCGCATAGGGGGGTGTTTGTCCAGGGTCCAATCAATAATAAAGACAGCCCTGGTGTTTACTTGATGCTGTAGCCTGACATTCATCTTTATGCTGCTCCACTGTGTAAGTTCATTACAGCTTTGCTCACAAATTAATAAGCCTCTAGTTCTAGCGTATTTCCTCTTTTGCTTCCTCCTGCAGGCTTGAAGTGTCTCTGATCTGAAGGGTGAGCAATATGTAAGTGGAGGTGTAAGGACACACAGAGTCACCAGAGCTTGATTTACATTTTAATCCTTACAGATATTTTTATTTATTTTATCATATGACAAATACACCTTCTAACAGTAGGTTGCTCCAATTTTCCATTTTTTTAAATTAAGACAAGCCCATCATGAGAAAAACATGGAGGATACCATTGGTAAGCTCTCTTTCAAAAAAAGGTAGCTGCCTGGTCATTTTGTTTAAGTTCAGTATTTCTTGCTTTCTGGTAAGAATCATTGAATTAGGATAAGGATGTGAATTAGGAATTCTGTGTAATCCCAGGTGAAATGACTATGCTCCACCGCCTGTTAGTACACCAAACTCACCAAAAATAAGGGACACAGAAGGTCAACAGGATAAATATTTAACCAGCTCCCGTCCATGGCCGTTCCTGAACGGCCGGACGGGAGCCTTATAGGAGCGGGAGGGCGTCTTAAGATGTCCTGCCCCTCCCCCCACTCGTGTGCGATCTCCCGATGATCTCTTCTCGGTCCCCGAATGCAGGAAGTGCATCACTTCCTGCATTCAGTGTCACTCTCAGGTTACAGATGCTGGTGAGAAGCTGATGAAGCAGATCCCTGCTTCATCAACTTCTCTGGGGGTCCCTAGGTGACATTAGGGGTCTTAGAGATGTCTCCATAAAGAGGACCTGTGATTTAGATTGGTTATAACATAGAGGATTTCTATGTGATAGCAATAAAGTTAAGTTTAAAAAAAAAAGTAAAATAACACTGTACTGTGTTACACAATGTACTGTGCCGTTTTTTTACACTGAACCGCAATAAAGTCTGTGACAGCTGTAAGTCCCCGCAGTGGCTGTGCGGGGATGTACTCTGTCACCAGTGCACCAGAGGCAGAGAGCGGCTCTATCTGCGGGTGGGCATTTGCCCCGTACAAATCCCCCCCGGATCCACCACTGATGGCGGCGCTGGACGTCGGCGCCACTGAGCGGCGGAGCGACGCGTCACTGCTGTGGGCGAAGCTCCAGGTGGAATCCTCTGGGCAGTCTTCAGCCACCTACATTAGGACCCCAGCTGGAGCTCCGCCCACAGCAGTGACGCGACGCTCCGCAGCCACCACGGAAGGTAAAGTAAAAAAAAAAACATAGCGCAAGCTTCAGCGCTTTGTATCGGGGCATTTTGACAAGTACAAGTACTTGTCAAAATGCCCTGTATCGGGCCCGATTCCGATGCTAGCATCGGTATCAGGACAGCCCTAAATTTAACGAGGACCATCTGGGGAACACTTCTGCTATAAGTTCAGGGTCGCTAAAGCGACCCTGAGCTTATAGCAAAACTGTAAATAGCAGCACCGTAAGGCATACTGACCTGGCCAGCTGGGAACAGTTTTGTTCCGCCGTATGCCTTAGTGCGGTGGCAGTGAAAGGGTTAAAGCATCGCCTATGGCCAATTTTGGGGGTGGTTGTTTTCTGCGATTTCACGGGCGCACACAATTTTGAAGCTTGACATGTTTGGTGTCTATTTACCCGCCGTCACTCATTTTGCCTGATGAAGGAGATCTATGAGAGACCGCGAAACGTTACTTTTTGATGCATTGTGCTATGTTTCATGCGTCAATAAACAGACGCCTTTGATTCATTACCTGGAGTGCCGGTGTCTATGTTATCCTATTTACCCGACGTGACCCCGTCTTTTATATTTTACCAAAAAATTCGGGTGATAATAAATGTTTCATAACATTTCATAGGGTAACAGGGTTTAAAAAAAAAAAAAATGATGGTACTTTTTTTGTTATATAGTACAAACTAAAAACCCCAGTGGTGAATAAATACCGCCAAGAGAAAGCTCTATCTGTCCCCAAAAAACGGTAAAAATGTATTTCAGTACAGCGTTGCATGGCAAAATAAATGTCAATCAAAGCACCGCAGCGCTGAATACTAAAAAATGGCCTGGCCAGGAAGGGGGTGTAACACCCTGGTCTTCAAGTGGTTAATATGATGTCCACTTGATCAGACCGAATGTTTATGGCAGTTGGATATTTCTCTGCAAACCCAAAGGTATTTGATGGAGCATAAACCATAAAACAGGCAATTTAGTTGTGTGATACTGTTTTTATTTAAAATTAAATGTATAAAGAAGAAATTGCAACAGCTCGTTTTGTAGTAGACACAACGTGTAGCATGTGGCTACACAATATATGTCATTTTTTTTCTTGTCCTGTTCTGTGTGAGTTCTGAGTCGGTTGGGCATCTGTATACAGAAAGTGGATTCTAGTTAAAACAGCACCAGCTGAGTTCTCTGCTAAAGGAGCACACAACAAAAGGCCTTTCATTTTAGGTTCGTTTGACTTACCAATACGTGGTGGTGAGGGAATAGTAATTTCCCCTGGGATTAAAAACATTTTTTTTTTTTTTGCGCATAAAGAGGCATTGCTTTTGTGGGACTTTTTTTCTCTGTATATGGACTTCACATTGGCTTGTGTTGGCACTTATTTGTTGTTTTGATTAAAGGAGATCTATGAGGTGAGTGCTTTTCACTCACCTCATAAGTCTAGCCGACCTGTGACAATGAGACTGTCACAGGTCGGCTCAGTAGATCGGGAGGTGAGCGAACACATACCGGCGTTCGCTCACTTCTCGATCCTGTCACTGCCTCTAGATAGGCAGAGCCAGCTGTCAGTCACGCAGCTGGGCGGATCCCGGCACAATTGTCGGGATCCGCTTCAGCTGTGGCGTCTCAGTATACCGCGAGGTACAGCTCGCAGTATACTGAGCCTAAGGTGACGGGAGGACGCTAGTTTGTGTCCTCCCGTTACCCTAAGGAGAATTATGGGGAAAAGCCTTAACCCCATAATTCTCCTTTAAGGTTTTTTTATTTCAAGCTGGTTTTTTTTTCTGCGATTAAACTTCTTTATACCATGTTTACTTTAAGGATAATTTACTACCAGATTTAAAATTAAAAACATTGTATTTGTTTTAATGCAGATGGTTTGGTAAAAAAACTGGAAGAATTGGAGAAAACATCAGAATTTTATAAAGGTATATTTCTATAAGCTTGAATGATCTGTGCTATATTGCTTGTCAAAGTCTAATGATCAGTGTATTTTGCTGCTTTCTCTTATAGCAACTATGTATATGTCTATGTTGTGTATTGTTTAAACCCTTGGTTCTCAACTGGTGGGTCGTGACCCAAAAGTGGGTCGCGACCCTGTGTTCAGTGGGTCGCCGCTTGCCTTCCACTTTTCTAGGTGAGAGGCTCCGCTGCCTCCCCCAGCGTAACACTGTCAGTTCTCGCGCCGAGCAGCCATTCAAAATATGCTGCCCGGTGCCAAGTGTCAGCTTGAGGTGGGGTGGGCTGGGACTATGGCCATGAGGGAGCTCCATTCATGCTTGCATTCCCTACAGCACCCTCACATGTCCTGTAGAGGTGCCTGGACCGGAGTGATGTCACATTCTGGCTCCTGGCACCTCTACAGGTGATGCACATATGGATGGCGCTCCGTCACAGCACATTCTGGTGTGGGAGTGCATTGCATTGCCATTAATTTGAATGGCATCCTAAATGCATCTCCCACCCACAGTTCTATCGCCCGCATCGGAACGCGAGGTACCACATGCCGTGCGTTCCATTGCAGTTCAACTTGGGTCGCAACTTAATGACCAAGGACAAATGTGGGTCCTGAGGTTAAACCGGTTGAGAACCACTGGTTTAAACTATGGCGATTATTAACAAAAGGGTGAAGAGTTTGGAGAGGGCACGAAAAGTAAACAATTTAGGCCAGGGGTCAGCAACTTTTTATAGACTCAAGTGCCATTTTTGCAACCATCAGACAACCGAGTGCCAATGAACAATAGCGCACCTTTGTTTTAGATTCACATTTTTATACTGATAGTTGTGCTGCTAATAGTAAAGGTGTTTTTTTTTCCATATTAAAATGTGTATTGAAGGTTTTCAGAATATAACAAAAGACATACATACAATACAGTGAGCATACATTAAGACAATCACACTACATACGATATCCAGGGTAAAGGGGGGGGGCGCCTTTGAGTAAGCGTGGCGCAATATGCGCATTCGGGCATGCGGCCTGATACCACCTCGCGAGAAGTTTGAAGTTGGCTTCGGTCATGTAGCTATCCGGGGAGGCAGAGGAGCACATATGCAACACCTTGGACCTCTGAGAGGGGGATAAGGGTGTTCGAAAATTCCTGTTCCCATTTCCCAAGGTATGGCGGGGGCTGGTCACCAGTAATTCCCGACAAAATCTTGTATATGACAGAGAGACCATGGCTTGTGGGAGTCGGTGACCCCAATAATGATTCAAAGGGCAAGAAGTTACCTCTCACTCGTAGTGGCTTCGGGAGAGACATAACAAAATGTTGTAGTTGTCTGTATCTCCAGAAGTCCATCGAATGGGTGCCCCACTTGTCCCTCAGAGCCTGGAGGGCAGAGTGAGGTCCCTTGGAGGACGTGATAACGAAAATGGGGGAGGGACAACATGCCGTTCACTTTGACTCTGACGGTTGGAGAGGAGTACAGTGCGGTTATCCACGCCAACATCCGGGGACCAATGCCCAGGGAGGTCAGCGTGGAGAACATGAATCCCCAGTCCACTCTGTCAAATGCTTTTTCGACATCTGTAGCCAAGAGTAGGACTGGGGAATTCTGTGTATGAGCTAGGTGAATAAGGGACACAGATTTAAGGGCGCTGTCCCTGGCCTCCCTCCCCGGGACAAAGCCCACCTTGTCCGGATGAATCCATTCGGGAAGAAGTGGGCTAAGTCGGGAAGCCAGGATCTTGGCGCACAACTTAGTGTCCACATTCATCAGTGATATGGGGCGGTAGCTAGAGCAGCAAGCTGGGTCTTTACCCGGCTTGGGAAGGATAGTGATGTGGGCAAGTAACGATTCCGGACGGAGTGGGGAGGTGGCGTCGATGGAATTAACATAACTACAAAAATGGGGGGCTAAGTGAGCCTGAAAACGCTTGAAGTACAAGAGAGGGAATCCGTCTGGGCCAGGGCTTTTGCCTAAAGGCGTGGATTGGATCGCTCGTTCTAATTCCGCTGTAGTGATGGGGGATTCTAAGGCAAGTAAGGTAGCAGTTGGCAACGCAGGTAAGCCCGCCTTTCGTAAGTAAGCAGTGATTTTATCAGAAAGATCCGGACGTAGGTGAGACTGTGATGGGGGGTTGACCTGGTACAAGTCTTGATAAAAGTCATGGAAAACTTTGGCTATATCAGTGGTATGGTGGGCCATAGAGCCCATAGTGGTCTTGATTTTGGGGATATAAGTGGCAAAGCGATGTGGTCGCAGAGCGTGTGCTAAAAGTCTACCAGGTTTATTACCCTGAACATAGAATTTCTTATTCCGCGCATCAAAGGCACGTTTAGTGTCCGATTCCAGCAGCTCTCTAAGTCGTTCTCGTTTGAGGGTAAGTGTTTGATATGTAGAGCTGTCAGCAGTAATTTTATGAGATATTTCTAGAGAATGTATTTCGGACAGTAACAGTTGTAGCTGCGCAACCCGATCCCTCTTCTTCCTGGAGCCTATGGCAATCAGCGTACCCCGGATCACTGACTTGTGGGCTTCCCAGAGGACTGCAGGGGAAACAGATTCCTGGGCGTTTTCCCTGAAGTAGGTATCTATATTGGCAGCCACGGTTGCAACAACCTTTGGGTCGTGGAGGAGGGATTCATTAAGCCTCCAATTGTAGCTTCTAGTTGGGGCATTCGCTAAGGTAAGTAATACAGATACCAGAGCATGGTCCGATAAAGTGAGAGGGAGTATAGTCGCGGCTTGTACCGCTTCTACAAGGAAGTGGTCTAAGAAGAGCATGTCTAACCGCAAGTAGGAATTATGGACAGAGGAGTAGTGGAGTAGTAGATATGAGAGTCCCTCTCACTGGGATGAAGTACTCTCCATACATCAACCAGGTGAAGACCATGTAGCATTCTGCGTACAGTATTAAGGTGTGATTTAGGGTTACGTGCATGGCCTGTGGATGTGTCCATGGATGGGTCCATGCAAAAGTTAAAATCCCCCGACACCATCAGGTGACCGGAACGAAAGCTCCGAAGTTTACCCAATATTTTCCTAAAGTAGGAAGCTGGTGAGGAATTCGGACAGTAAACGTTCGCCACAGTATATATAACACCATATAATTCAACATGAAGGAAAAGGAACCTGCCCTCCGGGTCAACCATTCTATCAGTGACCGTGAAGGGAATATCCTTTCCAAATCCTATGGCGACCCCACGCCCCCGCTTGGTAGGGGACGTGCAGTGGTACCAGTGTGGAAAGTACCCAGAGTGCAAACGTAGGGCAGAATCATGAGAGATATGAGTCTCCTGCAAGAAAACCACGTCAGCCCGCAATCTGTGTAGCTCAGCCAAATACCTGGTGCCTTTTGGCGGGGGCATTAAGGCCCCTGACATTGTACGTCACCAGGCGTAGGGACGCCATCATGGATATGGAATGATATGCGACCGAAACATCAAGCAACCCAGACCCAGGAAAAGAACCACAAAGTGAAGGGAAGGGGGACTTACAAGGGGGGACAAAGACATCGACAAGGACACGGGGGAACACATATGGGACAGAGAACATCTTGTAAAAACCACACCCATCCACACCACACACTTCCCGACAAACCATACACACTTAACTCTCATACCTAATCTAAACACAAAATTACTCAACAAAGTAAAACTAGCAAGAGCGGACACTCCCCAGGAATCCCCTGTGTCCCTCCAACTCTATCCTATTAGGGGGTTGAAACTAACCACTTATCCTGCACCCACTTCCATCCACATCCCATTGATTTCATATTCTCTCCCCTTATTCTTTTTTCTGAGAACCTATAGAACCATTTCTATCTATAACACCTCTTTGACCCAACTAGGATATGGAATAGATAAACTACAAAAACCTCAATTAATTTAAAAAAAAGGGAAAAATCCATCTACCCACACTCACATACATGCAAACGTATAAAGGCTCAAAATCTCCACTCGCCCCCTCGCTACCGGCAAGCGGAAGGGGCGAGTGGAATCAAAGCCACTGAGTCAGACACTCAGTTGTGGACCTAGTGCCCAACTCCCGGAGGGATCCTAGGTAACTTGCCGTACGCCGCTGCTCACAGCCGAGCATCTTCCCATGCCAAGGATGGCTGCTTGACAGTCGCCATCCCTACTAAGGTCCTCTCCTGTATCCTATCGACGGCATAACCTCCTGCCTGCGCACAAGGTTTATGGGAGCTGTAATTTCACTTTTACAGCGCCTCCGTGACAGCAATGGGTAAGTGTGTCACGTGGGGGGTATTGGGTTAGGTTTTATTGTTGCGGTGGTCCCGTGTCCCAGTGCTCCATCATCCCATCGGACCCGCAACCCCAGTCCGATCTGATAAAGTCACGGGTCCGACGGAACGACAGAACACCGTACCCCACGGATGTCGCAATACAGGAGAAGACCCGGGGTGGACTGGCAGACCACGAGAGGGGCCCCAACAGCTTCATATGCTGCAAGTCCCCTTCATGCCGCCTAAGCTGCAATAGCTATTCATGGGACCAGAGTTAGTCCCAAGTGTCCGGGGGACATAGAGATGGGTCAGGGTGCCATGTGTGTATCATGGATGTACGCATATGTGCGATATCCTGTGCGTTGTGCTGTAGCTGCATATATAATATCCTGTGCATTGTGCTGTGACTATATGTGTAATGTCCTATGTGTTGTGCTTTGGCTATATGTGTAATGTCCTGTGCGTTGTGCTGTGACTGCATATGTAATGTCCTGTGCATTGTGCTGTGGCTGCATGTATAATGTCATGTGTATTGTGCTGTGGCTGCATGTATAATGTCATGTATATTGTGCTGTGACTGCATGTGTAATGTCATGTGCGTTGTGCTGTGGCTGCATGTATAATGTCATGTATATTGTGCTGTGACTGCATGTATAATGTCATGTATATTGTGCTGTGACTGCATGTATAATGTCATGTATATTGTGCTGTGACTGCATGTATAATGTCATGTATATT